GGTTGCCGTGTGCCTCTGAGCTCTGCTTGAGAGGAGAGCTGCCGGGAGCCTGGAACCCATTCTCTTCCCAAGTAACGAACCCTGAGCTAAATGTTGCAATGTTGCGGCCCAGGCTTTCCCAGACTCGTGATGGTTTGACGTGATTTTTCAACGTTCCTATGCAGCCAAAATCAAGAGCATTGAGGAGGAGCTGCACTTTAGTCTACCACGTGGGACCTTTTCTTAGGCTTTCCTTCAGGTGCCAGACAGCAACAGACAGAGAGAACCTCGTGCCACTAGCTGCCGGCCAGCCCCACCATCACAAAGGGAATCCAACACCCGAAGCGAACTGTCTCTAGACTACATTTTCTTGTCACCAGCCCCACCATCTAGATTATGTTTTCTTGTCGCCATGGTAGATGAGATGTTTCCCCTTCCAACTTCTGAGGCTTTTGTATTTATGGCGGCGGGTTTATTGGGGATGGAGAAGTGGATATACACACCCTCCCACACCCAGCTGTCTCTCTCATGGCCATCTCTAGCTCTCAAAGCGCCTCCACCCAAAGTTCTAGCAAAGATTCAGCAGGGATCGCTCCTTGATGTAGTTGCTAAGTCCCCCAAATTGCTTCCCTTTCAGGGTCAATGGCTCAATTTTCATCCTTGTCTGATTCTTCCTCGTGCACACACAGGGTTCCCTGAAATTAATATTTTCTTTTTTTTCCCACTCTGGGTTTGGAAAGTTTTATTTCCTCCCTTCATTTATTTCCTCCCTTCATTTCTCTTATCATTCTCCTGTCCCTACCACGGATTCCAATTATAGTCATAAACCCGAAGGCAGTGTTGGGGACGGGCTCCTATAAAGAAAAAGGAAAGCCATTCAACCTGAAAAGTAAACAGCTCGAAGGTCAAACAACAATGGAGGGGATGTCACAGTCAGTTGCCGAGAGTTTGGTACTGACAAGTCATGCTCTGAGGCTGGGCAGAGTTTGGTACTGACAAGTCATGCTCTGAGGCTGGGCAGAGTTTGGTACTGACAAGTCATGCTCTGAGGCTGGGCAGAGTTTGGTACTGACAAGTCATGCTCTGAGGCTGGGCAGATGGTGCACAACTACAGCCCGAGCTTTCACAGGAAGACTTCTCTGTAGGAGCCAATGGGTTGCTACAGCCAAGCCATGCCCATCCGCATGAAGAGGGTGGCCAGAGTAAAGGCATGTTTGTTCAGAAGGAGAGACCTCTAAGGGTTAGTCTCTCTTGGAGGACTGGGAGCAATAGGTAAGAAGGATAGTCTGAAAGTATAATCTGGACTTTGGATAGTAAACTCAGCAGCTTAGGCCTTGCATTATTTCAGGATATTATGACAGCAGTCAACTGCTGGCTGAAGGCAGGCTACCAGTTATGTGTCAAAATGTAATCTGCCGCAGTTCAGAGAAATGGTGTGTTACTGCTGAAGACTATCCTGTCCCAAATCACTCACCAAACAAAAGTGACAGAAGCCACCCTTAGGCAGCCAGACTGCAGGCGTCAAAACAGTATTCAAAATGACCTTGGACTTTTTCCAGCTTTGGCTTTCTACAATTTAAGTGGCGTTTTCACTAGAACATGCGTTACAGTCACGTAAATCTAAGGGTCCCCAGTCAGCCACTCCGGCTTGTGTGGCTGTGGCAAGTGTCCCAACGAAGGGAGAAGCATGTGGTGGATGGAGGTAAAGCGGGACTGCTTGGTGAGATCTCAGGGGGGAGGACACTGCGCTGTGTGGCCCTCACAGGGTGTGGACAGCAGGATGATTGTGGCATTGGTAGAAGTGGCTGGTGTACGTTGTTTGGTTTGGTTTTGGTTTTGGTGGGGTGAATGAATGGAAGCTGTGATTTGTGTAGCTGAGGTAAGTGATGTAATAATTGCACAGGAAGATTTGTGATTAAGAGTCAAACCTTTCAATTCTTTTTAAATTACTAAGGCAATAAAAGAATGAAGGAAAAAAACAAACCCCCGAGGATGCAGTAGACTTCTCCGTTGGAGACAGAATTATTTCTAAGGTTAGTTGTCTTTTATTACATCTTTGATCCAAAAACCAAGAAATGGAGCCATCAATGAGGCTTGGCAGGTAAAGATGCTTGCTATCAAACTTGACAACCTAAATTCAACCACCTCCAAAACACACGGTAGAAGAAAGAACCGTTTCCCACAAGTTGTCCTCTGACTTCTACACATATATCCACTACTGCACATATGTATATACACACACACACACGGATACACACACACACACACACACACACACACACGGATACATAAATAAACAACTATGTATGTATGTATGTATTGTGAGAGCCAAAGTTGTATTTTAAGTTTTGATTACTGTTTCTAATAGATCCGTGAAACAAAAATGCAAGACTCTTGCCCAAGGACAGATGCTTCCTGAAATGCTGGAGGCTGCTGTTTATGAGAGATAACAAGCCACATATTTTCACTCCCTTAAACAGATTTGCTTGACACAACTAGCCCAGATTTGCTTGATCACAAGTGGGTGGAAGGTACACAGGTAGGGAGTATGTCAGGATGTATGCTTGCTCCTGATTGGATCTAATGAGAAATACGGTGACTTTGCTGGGTTGCCTTTTAAAGCCACTGAAAATTGTAACTTGTGGTCATTTTATGAAAACCCAGAGACTGGCCAGAGTTCATCTACCTGGCCAGCATTTAATTAAAGCTTGCTTCAAATTTAGCTTTAATTTGTGGTAGCGGTCTTATTCTCAACGGGTAGGATTAGCAATATGTTTATAAAAACTCAAGAAATGATCTGGCAAGCTCTTCAGTTTTAAAATCTAAAACATAATTTAATATTCAAATGCTAAGTCAGTACTTGCTTGTGGAATCTATTAACAGATTTTCATAAGTGCAATGTTCTGTACTTGTGTTTGAAGGATCATAGATGTTCATTTTGAGCCATTGTAAGATAAGACTAAAGAAGCATTAAGTGGGTATTCAAAAACCATCTTAAAAGGAATGAGAGATGTTTGGATTTTCATTTCCCTGATGGCTAAGGATGTTGAGCACTTTCTTAAGTGTCTTTCAGCCATTTTAGATTCCTCTATTGAGAATTCTCTCCTTATTTCTGTACCCCACTTTTTAATTGGATTATTTGGTATTTTGATGACTAGCTTCTTGAGTTCTTTGTATATTTTGGAGATCAGCCCTCTGACAGATGTGGGGTTGGCAAAGATCTTTTCCCATTCTGCAGGCTGCTGTTTTTTCTTGTTGACTGTCCTTTGCCTTCCAGAAGCTTCTCAGTTTCAGGAGGCCCCATTTATTAATTGTCAATCTTAATGTCTGTGCTAATGGTTTTTGTTCAGGATGACCCAAACTAAGAATCTAAGCAATAGTGGAGAGACTACCTTAAATGCCCTTCCCCTATAATGAGACTGACGACCACCTTATATGCCATCCTAGAGCCTTCATCCAGTAGCTGATGGGAGCAGAAACAGAGACCCACAGCTAAACACTGAGCTGAACTCCCAGAATCCAGTTGCAGAGAGGGAGGAGTGATGAGCAAAGGGGTCAGGACCAGGCTGGAGAAACCCACAGAATCAGCTGATCTGAACAAGGGGCAGGGGAGCTCATGGACCCCAATCTGACAGCTGGGGAACCAGTATAGAACTGAATCAGACGCCCTGAACATGGATGTTAGTTAGGAGGACTAGGCAGTCTATGGTGTCTCTGGTAGTGGATCAGTATTTATCCCTAGTATACAAATGAACTTTGGGAGCCATTTCCACACCGAAAAATACTCTCTCAGCCTAGTCACACGGGAGAGGGCCTAGGGCCTGCTCCAAATGATATGATAGATTTTGAAGATCCCCATGGAAGGCCTCACCCTCCCTGGGGAGCAGAAAGGGGATGGGATGGGAAGTTGGTGGGGGGCAGGGGAGGAGGGGAGGGAGAGGGAACTGGGATTGACATGTAAAACAAGCTTGTTTCAAATTTAAATAAAAAACCATTAAAAAATAAATAAACATTATAAAAATTAGAGGGGGGGTGGGTGGAGAGAGAGAGTTTATTCCGGAGCCATTCTGAGCGGCAATGGCCTGGGAACACAGATTTAAGTTACCCCAAATTCCAAGTTCCAACCTGGAAGTAGTTTCATGAACCTTCTATAGTTACACCGAAGAACTTCATAAATCAAGATGAATTTAAAATACACCGGAGGGGACCTCAGAGAGGCAGGTATAGCAAGATGGGGGAGTTTTCCTAAAGGCTCAAGATGCTATGTGACATTCTTGGCTTTACATTGGTGGAGACAGGTTGTCTGCTAAGTTAATAGATTCTAAAAGATTTCTGTTAGTCACAAGATGTTAATTCCAGCACATGTGTCCCCGAGGGCTAGAACTAGCCCAAGATAAGGTAACTAGCTTCTAGACTTGCAACATTCCAATCTCTCCACAGAACTGAAAATCTAGCCTGTTCAGACCAGGCTCTTTTCAGGAGTTTCCATTTACTTTTTTTGTTTTCTGATCACTGCGGCCCTTGCATCCAGAGTCGTAACAGGGCAAAAGTGTGAACGCTCTTCTGATTGATGGCCCCTGTCCCTGCTCCCCATAAATGGAGCTCCTGTAAGGGACTGCTCCAACTTAACCATGCAGCGAAGACCTCCTGGTAACACCGAGGCGGAAATCAAAAGACGCGAGAATAGACTTCTTTCATCTGGCAGCATCTACTGCTTCCGCCTGCCTTCTTCCCTTAGCTCCATCCCGCCTGCATTTCTGCCCATCTTTGTTTTTGTTTGTTAACCTAATTCTTAATATTCACCACTGTCAACTTCCCCAGGGTCAGGCCCCTCTTTAATCCTCCAAGGCGCAGCGGTGGGCGGGGCCGGATCCCGAGCCACACCGTGATTGGCGGTGTCCTAGCAACCGTGGCGATGCGGTCGTCAACAGAGACTGGACTCCTGCAAACCTTCTCCCTGGGACGGGGACCCTTCGCCAGCTCCTGCGGGAGTCACAGCCTTGTCCAGCAGTGGGATGCTGGCCGTACCCACCTGCTCGGGGCAGCGAGGCCCTGGAGGGTGGGAGGGACGCTGCTGAACGCGAGCCGCCTGGCTTTGCAACTGACAGATTACATAGTAAGTGTGGGACACCTTCCTTGCAGACCAGAACCTTCCAGGTTTCCAACCGGTCGTGTAGGGAAAAACAAGTTTGCAGTTTCCAAGCTGGACCTCGCTTCTGCTGGGAAAGCGCAGCGGTCAGGATACCTGGGTTTCAGAGTCAGGGTCGCTGACATTGTGTGTGTCCTTCTTATACAGAGGGTTTTCGCCATCCTCACTCCCTGCAGAAGATGGAGATAAGTTCTTTAATGCATGTCTATCCACAGGCTAACGGTCATCGGAAGATGCAGTACACAAATCAGTATATTAGAAACTTGTTTTTAAGAAGCAATGATAAAAACTAACGGTCCAAACCCAAAACGATCTTCTTTAGCGAAAGCTGTTTGCTGCTTTTAGTCTGGGGAGAACTTCTGTTTGCCTTCGGTCCAATTCTTCTGGAGGGAGGTTCACACACACATCACTTCCTCTTTTTAACATTTAACTTCATGTACTCATTCCTTTCATCTTCTCGGGAGCTCTTCATTTCCTTTCTTCTCATCGATGACCTACCCCCTGAAGCACTCAGACGCTTCGATGTTCAGTTCTCCATCCCGTTCTCTCAACAGCAAGACAGACCAGTTCAATCTCCTTAACTCTGCCCACGTTTATCCGAGGCGGTGATCTTAGCCTAGCTTTGCCTTTTAAGGACAGAAAGATGGGGTTGGGCGTGCTGTTAAGAATTGTAATAGGGTATATCATGGATCATCATCCCAAGTTCAGAACTCCCACAACACAACCACCTCACCCCAGCCCAGATATCTCTCTCTCTCTCTCTCTCTCTCTCTCTCAACTAGCAAAGATAAAGAAAGTTTGGAGGTGTTTATCATAAAGGGTCTAACCGGAATTAATGGAGTCTCACTTATATCCATCCTCACGAGGAGTGATGGGATAGCTCATGTCTTCTCAGTATGGGCAGCAGGCACAAAAGGGTCTTTACTTGTTTTGGTTGGGGCATGTGTGTGTGTGTGTGTGTGTGTGTGTGTGTGTGTGTGTGTGTATGAGCACAAGTGTGTGTTTAGCCCTAGGCAGACTTCAAGCTCACAGTCCTCCAGCTTCAGTCTCTCAAGTGTTCGGATTACAGGCTTTGGCCATCTTAATCTTTTGGTTTTCCCAGGAGCTTTGCCTGACTATGGCTTTAGCTCAGGCCTCTACTTCCTTCCTATATTCAGGAAATCCTTTCCTTTTTCTCTGAACTCTATGGCTCATTAGACAATTCCAAGTTTTAAAACTGAGGCTAGCTGGAGGTGGTAGTATATGACTGTAATTCCCAGCCCTCAGGAGGCTGGGGTAGGAGGGTTATCACAAGTTCAATGCTGGCCTGAGCTACATAGTCAGACCCTCTCTCAAAACACCAAAATCCAAACCAACAAAAACCCTATTATCCCATATTGTAGAGCCATGCTCATCGGTGATATAATCTGACTTCTGGGCTTCCTTGCCTCAGAGGAAACACTGAGTAATCATGCTAAACAAATAGCATAGTCACACCCAGAAAACAGTGTGTCTATGTTTAAAGGGTAGCTATTTCCCAATCACAACTTCCCTAGAACCTGATCTTTGCTTTGTCTGAAGACAATCAGCATTTTCTCAGTTGGTGTGAGTGACTGGTTGAACTCATCTCAATGCTATTCGTAGTGCGCGGGACACAGTAGCGTGTTGGCAGCGCTCATGTACAGTACTTCCCTGTAGCCATCAAACTTCTGTTTGGTCCAGAGAGGACAGACCTGTGTCTGAGGCCACAGGGATGAATCCTCCAAGGATAAACTAGGCTTTTGGGGCTGGAGAGATGGCTCAGTGGTCAGAAAGAGTTTCTATTCTTCCAGAGGACCCAATTTTGGTTCTTGCTCTGTATGTAATTCCAGCTCCAGGGTTTCCAAGGACATGAGTGGCAAACATACATACATACTACATACGTAATGCACACACCGACAAAGACAGACAGACACATACACATTTTTTTTAAAAGGTTGGCTTTTTGAGGGTTGCTCAGAGCGGTCTTAGAGGTCTAGTGAAGGAAGGCACTCCACACAGTTGCTAAAGGTTGGGCAGCGGCTGTCAGCATGGAGAGGAAAGCCGGTGGGCTGTGTGGAGGACACTTGTTAGGCCTGTGCCCCTGCAGGCTTCCGCAGACAACCCTTCATTCCCTCCCCGGGAGGTGTCTTCTCTCCTTTGCTCACTTTCTCTGGCTCAGTTTCACTTCCCAGCCCTTTCCCTCCAGGTATTCTCAGGCTATAAAGCCCCAGGGTGAAGATCTGAGTCTGAATGAGTCACACAGCTTCTCAGACCAGACAGAACCAGTTACAGCTTTTTAAAAAAAAAATTAACTCTAGGACAAGTCGTCAGAGCCCCTAGGGAGACTGGGACAAGTGCTGTAAGGAGATGAGGGTTCAGTTGCTTTGTAAAGGATGCAAGCAGGTGTCCTTTTAAATGTAATGAAAATTCAAGCAAATTAAAGACTGTTTCCCTTTGGTGGAAAAGCCAGAGGTGTGTCCCTTCTTACAGCCGGTAAGGTTGTAAATGTTAAATGTCTGTGAGAAGAATGGGGGAGGTGGGTGTGTCTCTGGGAAGTGAGGGGTTAGCTGCACTTGGCGGTCACTCCTCTGAGCCTCTCTTGTTTCTAGTGGAACAACAGAGACACGCTCTTCAGCTGCCCTCTCTGTGGACAGCAGATCTCCAAAGGCATACTAGTCTGCCCTTGTTTCCATGTTCTCTGATTTATTCTAGACTTCACAGCCTGGCATGACTGGGTAGTAGGGCTTAGGGAAATTCTTGGAAGAACCGGGGAGGTCGATTCATTTAGTACAGTGCTTGTCGTTGGAAGATAAGCATCTGGGGTTGGATCCTCAGTGCCCATGTAAGTAACCAGGTACAATGACACCACCTGCATGGAAGGGATGGGAAGATTCCTGGAGGTGTATGGCTAGCCAGTCTAGCCAGCTGGAGAACTCCAGGCCCAGTGAGAGATCCTGGCTCAAGCAGCCAGGTGGAGAGTGATTTATGAAGGCACCAACTTTTGGCCTCTGGTTTCCATATGCATTCATAAGCACACACATAAACACACACACACACACAGTGCTTGGAGTATCACAAAACAGAAGCAGTTACTACAACAACAGCTCTTAGATATTTTAGTTTTACATTAGCTCTTTCCAAAATACTAAGTGCTCATGCACACACTTATATACAAACTCTGCACACTTAGGCACATTTGCTCTTGGCAGCAGCCTCGGGTTCCCATGTCAGGTGTGTTACTCTAGAGGGGCAAAGTCAGTTGCTATAGTAACAGGACAGGCTTATGCTGAAGTTTGTTGGGGATTTTTTTGTTTGATTTTTGTTTGGGTCTTGAGACACGGTTTCATTATGTATCTCAGTTGGCACCCAAATCTCAATCCTCCTGCCTCATTCTCCTGAGTGCTAGCATTATAGACACCTGGCACTGCCCCCCCCCATCATGATGCTCTTCGAGTCATCTTGTCACACATCCATCAAAACGAGTCTCGTTACCTTGTTCTCACAAGATGAGTCTCCCCCACCATTTGGATTTGTAGACTGTTAGAAGCGACATTTTATGGATAGTACAAATTCACAGAAACCTTGACATGGAATCGTTATCTTTCACGGCTTGAGAGATGAGCCTGTGCCATGACAACCAAGGTTAGCGCTCTCTGCCTGAGGATGGGGGAAGCCATCCTCAGAATGTTCTTGGCTCTAATGGTAACAAGGTGGCTAAGAAATGGCTTTGAATCCTGCTCCTGTTGCTCACGGACTATGACAGAACCTGTGGAAAAGCTCTTGAAATTCTCAAGGCTTCTGATTCTTCAGCTACAAGCAGGGTCTTAACACTGTGTACCGGCTACGTTCATGAGCACTCTGTAAGAGGGTGCGAAAGGAAGGTTCAGACTATAGGCTGATTGACAGACGGAAGCTGCCACGGGTGTTTGTTTCTACCATGATAAAAGTCAGACCACAGACTCGAGAGCTGAAGGGCCTGGACCAGACTCTTAGACAGCTCTCCTACTAGCTGTGAGATTGTGAGCCAGGTCTCTTAACCCTCTCTGTCTTGGTTTCCTCATAAGTAACATGAGAAAAAGAGTCGTATCTCTCCTGTAAGGTTGTTTTGGATTTACTTAAAATTTAGATTAAATATTGCATGTCTACAGATGTGTCAGAGTGTGAGTTCATGCCCATGTGTGCAGTGCTCTGGGAGGCTATAAGAGGGTCCTTAGAGCTGAATCTGAATGCAGTTGTGAGCCATCCAGTGTGCTGCTGGAAACTGAACTCAGGTCCCCTGTAGGGAGCAGAACATTTCCTTAACCACTGAGCCCTGTGTCTCATAAGGCTGTTATAGGAATGTATTCTACAATGTATGTCATAGCATTAAGTGTTTGCTGTCCATGCTTCTAACTTCTTTTCTTAAAACATCCCTGGCTTGAAACTACTTGATTATTGTGCTCAACTAAATTTCCATGTCATAACACTAAGATGGTGAAGAAATGGAGTTTCATTTCTTTTTCATTTACGTATTTTTTAACAAGGTTTATTTTCACATATGCACATGTGTGTCCATGAGTGTGTGTGAGGGTGACTCTTGGCTTGTCACAAGGGTGTTAGGGTCTGAACTTCATCCTCATGATGGGTAACAATCACTCTTACCCGTGGAGCCATCTCTCCAGGCCCTAGAAGTCCAGTTTTAGATATTGGAAAGGGGAGTCTATTTGTTATCGAAATGCTTCATAGTCTTGGGAAAACAAGTTTTAAACGCTGAACACCGGCTGCATAGTAATTAGAACCTTTTAGCTGCTACCCAGTTGCTGATATTGGTGAACTCTGCCCTTACAAGGTCACACTTCCCCCCCCCCATCTTAGGCCCTGCACAGTTGTGGTGAGCGGGTTAAGATTGCATTAGTTTAGGCAGTCTCCCCCTCTTGTGTACACTCACTATATTTAGGCCAGTAGAGATGAGTTCAATATACTGCATATTGCTTTGGGTTCAGTTGATCCCAGAACAGCAGGTTCCACTAGGTAGAGCGATGAAGTCCAATTTTAGAGTGTAGCCCCAGAAAGCAAAGCATCCGGGATATAAATCTGTGTGTTCCAGTGGAGCTGGGTTGCTGTCTGCCATCTCCCAGTTAGCTAGTCCATATCAGGGTTTTGTTTGTTTGTTTGTTTGTTTGTTTAAATCTTCTTTATCCTTGGGTTCAGAATATTTTGTGTGAATATAATTAGCATGCAGATGTGTAATATGGCTTCCAGGGACTGTGTTTATCTTCCAAAATGGAAGAGTCTTGTATTTTTCTAGCTATAAAAGTAAATCCCATTTTAGAAATAATGCAAAAACTGGAACACGCTGGAAAAGGCAAAAACTGCAGACCCGCTAGTGTTTATTTTTCTAGACATTTCACAGCACACATCTATGTAATTTCTGGATACCACCTGGTAGCATGCATCTATACTGTAAGTTTTATGGGTAAATAAAATTCTGCTTCATGCCCGTACTCTTTTATAGTAAGTCAACAGTGATGTTGATGCTAGTTAGACCCCCTACCCCGCCATGTTTTCGGGCGCCCTGAGCCTGACAATTTTCCTTGCAGGAGGTCCCTTGTGACTCCGGTCTTGACTTAGAGATGGAGGAATCAGGATCGTCGTCCTCTTTTGTCTCCAAGCAATAGCCACAGAGGCTGGCGGGACAGAGCAACATCAAGACAGGCATGGCTGAGCAGAGTCTCATTTCATCTGAACAGTGGCTTCAGTTGCACGGACTTAAGAGCAAGAAGCTGAGCTTGAAGCAGATCTTGTCCCAGATTGGATTCCCACAGTGTGAAGGTACAGTACTCCCTTCAGGGAACCTCCCTCAGCTACGGAGAAATGGTAGGCCTGGGCATTTGCTTGGATCCCACATCTCAGCCAGGGGGAGATGCTCGCGCATGCTCCTTCCCAATCTGTACCTACCATATAGAGATACGCCTGTAACTACACAGGCTCAATATCATCACTGTCTCATTTCATTCGTGTGTGCCTGTGTATGCATGCATGTGAAGGTGTGTGCATATGTGTGTGGATGTGCATGTGTGTGTAGGCCAGAGGAAGATGTCGGGTGTTGCCCTCTATTTCTGTAGACCTTATTTCCTCAAGGCGGGGTCCCTCACTGAACCTGGAGCTCACAGCGTTTTTGGCTAGGCTGGGAACCACCACCTTCCGGAAATCTTTTGGTCTCCTCTCTTTCCCAAGCTCATCGCTGCTGTGCTGTTTGGTCTTATGTCAACTTGCACAAACTAGACTTACCTGAAAGGAGGGAACCTCAGTTGAGACAATGCTTCCATAAGAGTTGGCTATTAAGGCATTCTCTTAACTAGTGATTGACGGGGAAGGGCCCAGCCCATGGTGGGTGGTGCCATCCCTGGGCTGGTGGTCCAGGGTTCTATAGAAAAGCAGGTTGAGCAAGCCAGGAGAGCTAGCCATTAAGCAGCATCCTCCATGCCCTGTTTGAGTTACTGTCCTGGCTTCCTTCAGTGATGGACTACAACATGGAAGGGTAAGTAAGCCCAATAAGCCCTTTTCTTCCCTCATGGTGGTTTTTTCCCCCCAGCAATAGAAACCCTAACTAAAACTACGGGGTTATAAGTATGTGCAGACATGCCTGGTTCTTTTACCTGGGTTCTGGGGGATCAAAACTCAATACTTGATTTTTATGCAACAAGCAGTCTATCCAACAAGCCCTCTTCCAGGACCCATTAATTTCATTATTTGTGTTGGGGGAGTTGTGTATATATGTGTGCTACACGTGTGTGTGTGTGTGTGTGCGCGCGCGTGCATACGTGCACACACACAAAGATGTGAGTGTGCATTCCTGGAGGTCAGTACACAATTTGTGGGAGTTGGCTTTCTGCTTTTCTCTTGTGGGTTCTGGGGATCCAACTTCGGCTGTCAGTGTTGACAGCAGGCTTGGTCACTTGCTGTCCATCTCTCCAGCCCAGATGCGTATATTTCTGTAAGTCCTGGCTGTCGGGTTGGTCCTTATATCTTGGTAATGTCCACTCAGCACCCCCAGGCAGTATGAAAATGTGTGAGAGTATTTTTATTTGTGTTCTTTGGATTGCCTTGAGGGGTATTGAAATGTGGGGTCTGGGAATCAGGGCTACTGAGTGTCAGTGTGAGAGATAGCCCACTGCACAGGAAGACCCTTCTCCAACATGTCTGCAACATGGTGTATAAAAGGCATGCCCTTAGGACAATTCTAATTATTTGGTACCTCTGAAGTAGTCTATGTCTTAGGGTTTACTGTTGCTATGAAGAGACGCCATGACTACAGAAACTCTTAGAAAGAAAGCTTTCTAAGGGGCTTGCTTACAGTTCAGAGGTTCAGTCCATCATGGCGGGGAGTGTGATGGCATGCAGGTAGGCATGGTGCTAGAGAAATAGCCAAGTATCTTGTTTTGCAGGCAACAGAAAGGCGGTATCCTGAGTGCATGACCTCAAAGTCTGCCTCTACAGCCACACACTTCCTCCAACAGGCCACACCCACTCTGACAAAGCCACGCCTCCTGATAATGCCACTCTATGAGATTATGGGATTGAGGGATTAGGAGGGCCAATTACATTCACACTACCACAGTCTATAAAACAAATGTTTATTCAGCTGTCAGCAATAACAAATTTTGAATTCCCTGACATCATGGTCAGCACTAGCCCTGTGGCAGGTCATTTGAAGTCTGGATGGTCCAGTTTCTGCAGACTGCTCTGGAACCCTCTCGATACAAGGCTTTGTTCTCTAGTGCTCTGCCCTCCCGTATGTCCCCTCTCGTGGGCTAGTAGGGCTATGTGCTATCTACATACTATGGGCTAGGGGTTTGCCTATGATTTCCTAACACATTAAGAAAATATTGTTGATGATGTCCTTTAACAGCTTTGTTTGCTTGTAGAGCTTACATTGGTGTTACCTTTATTTCTAATATTCATAATTTTCATTTCTCTTTATACATCTTTTTTTTGTTTTGGTTTCATTTGTTTATTTACTTTTCAGTTTTGTTTTTCCAGACAGGTTTTGTCTGTGTAGCCCTGGCTGTCCTGGAACTCGCTCTGTAGATCGGGCTGGCCTCGAACTCACAGAGACCCTCCTGCCTCTGCCTCCCTAGTGCTGGGATTAAAGGTTCTCCACCTTGCCCTGCTTCTTTTCTTTACTTTTGGCTTTTGAGACAGGGCTTGCTATGTAGTCCAGGCGAACCTGGAATTTGCACTGTGGCTCAAGCTGGTCTTGAACTCTCCATCCTTAGTAGTTGCCCAAGAATATTTGTAAATGTTGTTTTGGTCAAGGGCATTGATAGTGTGTTGTCCATATATTTAGTAACTTTTGTGAGTGATTCTGCCCCTCAGTTTGGCTGGTTTTGTTCATGTATGAAGCCCAGGGGCTGGTGTATCAAATGCCAGTCCACAGCTTAAGAGATAATATTGTTTGTGTCTTTCTTATTTTTATTCCCTAAGCTGGAGATCAAGCTGAAGGCCCTGTCCCTTTTCATATTTGTCAGGCTATTTTTATATCTTTTGTTTAGATTGGCTATTTTTTTTTTATTGCTCTATCTTCATTTACTCCTTGTTTTACTCCTGAGCCCAAACACTGAGTTTTTTTTTTAATTTTGGTTATCCTATTTTTAAAAGAACATTTAGATCCAGCAAGGGAATGTGGCTCATTTCTCCTTTTTCATCTTGAAACAAAACAAAACAAAAAACCCATTATTACTGGCAAACTAATGGGTTTTGTGACACTTCTATAAATACATTTAAGGAGAAAGGGAAGAGAAGGAATAGGAACCCGGGCGGGAAGAGGCAGAGGAGCAGGGGGCGGGGAAAGAGGAGCAGGGGGCGGGGAAAGAGGAGCAGGGGGCGGAGAAAGAGGAGCAGGGGGCGGGGAAAGAGATGGGGGGCGGGGAAAGAGGAGCAGGGGGCGGGGAAAGAGGAGCAGGGGGCGGGGAAAGAGGAGCAGCTGTGAAGACAGCTCAAATAACTTAAACTTAATGCAACATTCAAGGTCTTCAGTGAACAAGAACAAGCCATTCAGTATCATTGTATAGGCACACCACAGTTTAACTATTTGATTACCAGTTGACAGATGGAAAGCTGGTTTTTATTCTAACTGGAAGTGAACTTGACAGAACCCAAACTCCAACTTCTCTCCCACTAAACACAGTCTCGCCAGCCAGTGCCTTCCTTTCAAGGATGGAGAGCAGTCCAGGCTCTGTCTGTTTCCGATTGTGCTTTAGCACCTTTAGAGAGATGCTTTGGCGCTTGATTCCGGGTTTCTAATTGTGCCGAGGTTAGGGGAATAGGATCCACATCATTGTTGTTGTTGGATGCAGAACTTGCAATGCACTTAGCCTTCCACAGACTTGGCTCCTTCCTGCCTCCACAAGCAGCCCCTCTTCGGAGCTGAGATAAGATAGATGCTTCTCCTAAAGAAAGACTGAGGTTGCTGACTTGAAGTCCCCGAATCAATGTGAGGTAAGAAGCCGAAATCTCAGAACTAGGGATTTCAGAGTATGTAGGTCTGATGTGGGGGAGTGGGTGGTAATGACAAAATGCAGGTATCTGGTCTTTATTCTTTACTGATGAGAGAGCTGGACTTAAGACTTTACATCTTATCATGATCCTTGTGATTTGGGACCCACCTGGCTAAGGGGGCTGTAAAGTTCATACTTGACCTTTCTTATTGTTTCTTCTTCTTCTTCTTCTTCTTCTTCTTCTTCTTCTTCTTCTTCTTCTTCTTCTTCTTCTTTTTAAACATTTGTTTATGTGTGTATGTGTGCATGTGCCTTGGCATGTGAGTGGAGGGTAAAGGAGAACTTGTGGGAGTCATCTTTCTCCTTCTACCATGTGGGTCCTGGGGAATCGAACTAAGGTCGTGAGGTTTGCTGGCAGGTACCTTCAGATTGCTCGGACATCTTGATAGCTTCCTTTCTTTTTCTTTCTAAGAAGTTTCTTTTTTTTAAAAAAAAAATTATTTTTAATTATGTGTGTGTCTGGGTATGTGTACACGAGTGTAGTTCCCTAGGAGGCCAGAGGTGACAGGTCCCTCTGGGACTGGAGTTACAGGCGGTTAGTTGTGAGATATGAGTACTGGGAACTAAGGTCCCCAGGCAGAGCAGCACATGCTCTGAACCCGTGAGCCAGTTCTCCGTCACATGACACATCTTAGTTGGGTTTCTATTGCTGTGTTGAACACCATGACCACAAAGCGACTTGAAGAGTTTATATCATCTTATGGCTTTCAGGTAGAGACTCCCATGGGAAAGGCTGTAGTGGTTTGAGTGAGGCTGGCCCCATAACATCTGGCAGTTGGATAGTTGGTCCCCAGTTGGTGTGGTTTGAGGGGGCTTAGCAGGTGTGCCTTTGTTGGAGGACGTGCGTCACTGAGCTTCCAAAGCTTCTCGCAGCCTCAGTTGGCTCGCGCCTGTTCCTGTCACCATTTCTGCCATGCCACAATTCCCTGCCGCTGCGGAACCCTAAGCCAAAATAAACTCTTTCTTCTGTAAATTGCCTTGGCCATGGTGTTTTATCCCAGCAATAAAAAGTTACCTAACATAGAAGCCAAGACAGGCACTCTAGATGGACCGGAACTTGGAGTCAGGAACTGGGCGGGCGCTACTTCCTGGCCCCCTCCTGGTAGCTCGCTCGGCCTGCTGTCTTATACACCGTGGGACCACCTGCCCAAGGATGGCACAACCCACTGCAGTGCACCGGGCTCACCCACATCAAATATCAATCAAGAAAAACACCCTGCGGGCTTGCCTACGGGCTGCGTACATGTTCTCAAGTTCCTTCTCTCAGACGCTTGTGTTAGGCAGACCAAAAAAAAAAAAACCTAACCTATACACCTCCTTTTCTTCCTTTCTAAAGAGGGTTATTCCCTGCCTCTTCAGAGCTGGGAAGCCCTGGGTTTGGGTCCCCATCACCCACATGAAAAGCCAGTATAGTGGTACAGGCCTGCAACCCTAGTGACGAAGTAGAGATAGAGGACTCCCTAGAGCCAGGGCAAAGGTGGTACTAGACAAGAACACTGTCTCTGGGGCCGATGGACAACAACTTTGTGACATCATCATTATAAGGATGCCTTTGAGAAGTTTGCCTCATCGTCCCCCACCCTCATAGTTCATCCTGAGAGGCTCTGTGGTCTACTGGCAGTTCCAAGAAGGATTAGGCATGCATTTGAGGTTAACACCCTATTCCTATCCAGCGTGCATTTCTCCTGACATGCAGACAGGGCTAGGTAGAGCATGCGCCTAGAGGTTTACACAGCTGAGCAAATAATCCAGTAGTCCTTTCATTCAGCATTTCATCCAGCTACTGAGACTTCCGTAGACCTACCCGCCTCGGGCCTCGGCCAGATCTTGTGGTACTGACACCATGTTTAATTCTGCATCAATTACTTGCTCACTTCATTTCACTAAGTCATGAATCAAAGCTTGAGCAATAGGTAGTACCCAAGTTGGATTTTTACATTTGCTCATTATCTCTGGCCAGTCGAAGAAACAACCTTTCATCTTGAAATTTTTATTTGCGTGTGTGTATCTGTGTAGTGGTGTGTGTGTGTGTGTGTGTGTGTGTGTGTGTGTGTGTCTGTGTGTGTGTAGTGTACTTACATGTATGCATATGCATGCCTCTGTTTTTGGTTTATTGAGACAATCTAATATGTATTTAACTCGGACTGGTTTGGAGCTCATTTTCCTACCTCCACCTCCCAAGTATCAGGATTAAAAGAATGAGTTACCATGCCCGGTAACTTTTGTTTTTCAAGTTTCGTAAATTAAGTACAAACCTTCAGTAAAATTTCAGGCATTAAGCGCAATTTTCATGTTGTGTTTTTGAACTCTGCCTTAATTATCCTAGATAAAAGTGTAACAGGGCCCCAGACATTAGTAGGCTCCCAGACCTTAGCACAACTGACCCCTAGGTGGAAATGACATTCAGGCTGTAGAACTCAGAGTGTAGTAGATAGCACCTTTTGCCAAAAATGAAAGCAAGGACCTAATCCATCAAAGTCCACAGTTCTGGGAAAGTCTCTAAATAAACTGGCCTTGATTTTGGCTTCTGTAGTTCTGCTTCGTGCTAACTGAACTGTGTCAACCCAGAACATGGTTTAAAAACTCACACTGAGAAAGGCTCGGGGCTACACTGGGATCCCAAGCACCCAGAGTAGCCACAGGCTGGCTAATGAAGACTTTCTATTGGCTTAAACCCATGCCTGAACGACCTCCTCTGGTGAATACCCCACAACAGAAGATCTAGGAAATGGAGCCCATTCTTCCTACTCATTCAAGATTTTGAACATTCTGCATGCCATAAGCACTTATATTTGTCACAGTTCTTAGACAGACTACGACTTGGAACACAATATGAAATTAAAAATTATTGAGAAAAGTGTTGGAAAATAAGCAAGAGAAGCTTTGCTGATGTACCATCTTGATTGTCTTTATAAAAATACAGATTATGTGACCTCCTTGAGGAGACTCGTGGCTTCTCGGTATGCTGATGGCCTGTTTCCACAATTCTACACAGCAGAAGATGGCAAGCTTTACAATGTAAGTCAGTGTTCCCTCAGTGTTCAGGTCTCATGGGAGGAGACGGTAGTCACATTAAAATCCCGGGGAGAAGATGGGGGGAGGGACAGCCAGGCAGTGGTGGCACACGCCTTTGATCCCAGCACTCAGGAGGCAGAGGCAGGTGGATGTCTGAGTTCGAGGCCAGCCTGGTCTACAGAGCAAGTTCCAGCACAGGCAAGGTTACACAGAGGAAAAAAAGAAAAAGATCCCGGGGCTATGGAGATTCTGGCTTCAGGTTTTCTTTGGGCAGTGGTAGAATGGTAAAGTTGTGGTTATCCCATGGCCTGAAAGAGATGAGAACAGGAAGCTCTTGATCAGATACTTGATAATCGCCTCTTGATTACACGCCGGCACTTTGTCTGGCCTTAAAGAAGAGGGTGAAGCAAAGGCAATGTGAGAGCATTTCCTGAACTTAACCCAGTGCAGGACTAGGGACAGTACTGGCAAGTGGAACTCTACATCCAGAGAGTTCACACATATCATACTAGCACCCAGAACTGGAGTTCACCGTCTTGTTTGAGACACATACTTCATCCTGTCCATGTATGTCAAGGTACATCTGTGTGCCGCCAGGACTGTTCCTCGACACAGTCATCCCTTGGGACCCATGGAAACCCTCCCAGGGTCCGTTGTCTAAAGGAATAGGATACATAGACTATTACACTGTGTGGTCCAGCTCATCCAACAATGACTACCTCCAGAGGGAAAGGCCAAGAATGTGTAGCTGTTCAGCCCATGAGACTAGGTGTCTCTGCAGTCCCCGTTGGGTGCTGGAATCCTAGATGCTGCTGGCCTCTAGTCTATATTGGCATCCTGAAGAAGTGGGCCCTCCCGCCAGCAAAGGACCGCCTCAGTAACAGGATAGGTGACCTAGCCGGGAGAGACAGGGGGCAAGCAGGCAAAAGGAAAAGGTTTCTTTCCTGTCCTCTCCCGTGTGCTCCTACCAGAAGCTGTGGCCCGGATTTAGGGTGGGTCTTCTCATCTTAAAAGGTCCAGTCAAGAAAATCCCTCACAGGAGTGCCAAGTTGCTTGGGTTCCAGCTGATTCCAGACGTAATCAAAGTAGACAACCAGTATTCATCACAATCACAACCGAGTTCAGCATGCTCAATTTGGCTTTGGCAGAGCATGGCATTTGCTTAAAGCCTGTTCAATTCTCCTTTATACCTCAAGTTATCTCCAGATGACTTACAATACCCAACACAATATAAATGCTGTGAGAATACGCCTTACATCATATTGTTTAGGGGATAAGAACAATAAAAAGCCTGTTCACAGCATCCACGTAGTTCACTTTTTAATATTCTCCACCCAAGCTTGGTCGAATCTGAGAATATTGACCCCGCCATGGATAGGGAGGGCTGATTGCATTTAATATTTTAAGATTGCTTTTCTGTGTTTGGTTCACCGGAGCCGTTTTTAACTGGTCCACATTAAAACTGCCACAGAGCAAATAGAACAGATGTCTTTGTCCACATAAATCCACTGCCACATTCCCTGAGACCTTTCTGTGCTGTGACTTCTCTTAGGGGGATGTGAACAAAGGAGTTTAACCCCAGACAGGGCACCCATGACAGAAGGGAGGAAGGATTCCATCCAAATCTGGCTTAGTGAACCGGGGAGTTTTTGGGGTTACTTGAAGGAACACACAGGACCCAATGACAACTGCATCATGGGGAAAAAAAGCGGCCCACTATACCAAGAAGCTCGGGTAATGAGCCAGCTGCAACCCTGCAGCGCAATTATCCAGTCCCCTCCCTCCTCCACAGTGGAGGAAATAGCTACACAACGCGATCTCAGGTCCCGGAAGCTGGTGAGTTCTCGAAACAGGAAAGAGGTGTAGTAGGGGCCTGGAGTGTGGTTCAAAGCACTGGTTGAGTATGTGCAGAGTCCCCAGCACTAAGATGCTGCAGAGAAATGGCAGGACCAGCTCAAGGAAGAGAGAGACGCAGATGCCGTAGGAAAGGACTCCACCAGGTCTTTTCAACTTTTCCCTTCTCCTTTCCTGTCGTCTGCCTCTTCGCTCTCTAAAAGGCCTAGCACGTTGTGCCCGGTCTGCTGGCCTGGTCTGCTTGAAGGATGCATGCAAGAAGTTGCCTGCAAGTCTCTGCCACCTTTGGGGGCATCCCGAAGGTACCGGTGGTGGCTGTGAGTAGCCGGGTGACCCAGGTACAGGTGAGGTTGGTGTAGGAGAGAGAGGGCAGAGAGACAAAGTTACCATCACTAGGATGAGTAACTGAGCTGCTGTTCTTACAGTGTTTGCGGAAATGTTTTTCAGTGTCTTACACAGGAAAGCTTTTTAGTGAGACTTCTTTTTTTTTTTTTTTTAAACCCTGTCTTGGCTGGTTTTTCTTTCTTCTATTCAGTTTCAAAAAGTACCCCTGGCCATTTTCTGCCATTCTATATATAATTATTAAATAAAATAAAACCTCTGGAAGCCTCTCTCTCTGTCACACACACTCTCTCTCTCTTTTGCATTACAGTTTGAAGAGATCACATTGTCTTTCTGAGAGGCTAGAATCTCTCGTTCCTGGGTCCTGTGGAGTTTGAAGGCCACCTATAGAATTCTTGTAGTTACACAGCTCAGCTCCAGCTGCATTCCTGTGACTGCGGTTCTAACTGCAGCTGCACTCCTGTGACTGCGGTTGTAACTGCAGCTGCATTCCTGTGACTGCGGTTGTAACTGCAGCTGCATTCCTGTGACTGCGGTTGTAACTGCAGCTGCACTCCTGTGACTGCGGTTGTAACTGCAGCTGCATTCCTGTGACTGCGGTTCTAACTGCAGCTGCATTCCTGTGGCTGCGGTTCTAACTGCAACTGCATTCCTGTGACTGCGGTTCTAACTGCAACTGCATTCCTGTGACTGCGGTTTTAACTGCAGCTGCACTCCTGTGACTGCGGTTCTAACTGCAGCTGCACTCCTGTGGCTGCGGTTTTAACTGCAGCTGCATTCCTGTGACTGCGGTTCTAACTGCAGCTGCACTCCTGTGGCTGCGGTTTTAACTGCAGCTGCATTCCTGTGACTGCGGTTCTAACTGCATATTTGGCTGCTGTCTCATTGTTGTTGTTGTTGTGTTTTCTTATTTCCATTCAGCTGACAGCAAAGTCAGAGCTGATGTGCCAGTTTGTGGATTGTTTAACACAAGCTGTGGAGACTTATAAGCAGCGGTTGGACTGGCTCACCAGCAGGAGCCGGCAGATTTTTGGTGTCATCTTGGAACAGAGCATCACCATAGTACTGGATTTCAATGACATTGTGATGGAGGAGCTCAGTCTGTGCCAGGAGGCTCTGGCAATGGTCCTCCAGGAGCAAGTGGCCCTGCTCGCCAAGTTCAACATCATATGGTGAGCCCCCGATGCGAACATCCGCCTCATTGAAACGTCACACCCGACTTGCACGCATTCAGAGCTAAGTAGCAGAGCTAACACAGTTAGCCTGATGGCAAGGGATGGGGATTATCATAACTCTGTAGAATATACAATTTCAACAGAAAACACACGGCAAATAATAAATTTTAGCCAACCTTTATCTGCTTTTCGCCGGGCGCCTTGGGTTTCATGTTAAGAGAGATTTAGAAACTTGCCTTTCTTCAATCCCCCGGCAGGTCAGAATATGAGGCTGTGAATTACATAGTCATATGATATATGTATATGTGCCTGCGTGTGTATTGAAGGTGCGAGTCTCATTTTAGATTGGATAACACGGTTAGAGGCCACAGCTTTCATTGACCTCGGTTTAAACCCCTTTAATCAGAACAGCAGGTGGCTGCCTTTCTAGAATTTCACTTATTTTAGAGTTTTCTTGATTGATTATTTATGGATCCTTGGAGCCACAGGAATGTGGGCCTCCGTGCTAACTTCTCAGCCACCTCGGTGGTTGCAACCTCCTTGACAAGAAACATCTGGGTAAGTGGGTGGAGGGAAACGTGCCTGATTGAGTAATGCACTTTTATGTAAACAGAGGACACCTTTGTGCATGGCCTCCGGTCCCGACCCTGACTTTTGACACGGGTTTGTCAGTGAAGGACTTGAGTGCGCAGAGCCTTTACTTTCTCAGACTGTTTCCCTCAACCCAGAGGAGGCCCAGCACGGGGACACAGGTATGAGGCAGCACCCCCTGTGACAATGGCCATTGGCAACAGCCAAGCCAATTTACTTGCCATTATAAACACAGATCAATTCAAACGGCTCCTCTCTTTGAGGTGAGGGCACCCTTCAGTCATTCCAAAACCCTAAATAAATAGTTTTAAACAAAGGTTCTCAGGGCTTTCAAGTACATGTTCTGCTAAACTAAAAGCAGGACTTTAGTGATCCCGAGAGGACAGCTGGTGGGACCCTGCCAGGCCAAGGGCGACAATGTCACTGGGAGTAGATTTTATAACAATAAGATGCTACCAACTTGTCAACCAGGGTACTGTAAGTTGTTAGGAATTTGCTATTGATAGAGGACAGTTCTATACATCCTGCCTGTTTATGAAGATAATTTCTCCTAGTATTTGTGTGTGTGTGCGTGTGTTTGTGTATGTCTGTGTGTGTGTTGTATATGTGTGTATGTGTGTGTGTATGTGTGCATGTGTGTTTGTGAGTGTGTGTGTGTATGTGTGCATGTGTGTTTGTGTGTGTGTGAGTGTGTGTGTGTATGATCCTGTGTGTGTATGTGTGTATATGTGTGTTTGTGTGTGAGTGTGTGTGAGTGTGTGTATGTGTGTGAGTGAGTGTGTGTATGTGTGTGTATGATCCTGTGTGTGTGTGTGTGAGTGTGTGTGTGAGTGTGTGTATGTGTGTGAGTGTGTGTGTATGTGTGTGTATGATCCTGTGTGTGTTTGTGTGTGAGTGTGTGTATGTGTGCAATTGTGTGCATGTGTATGTGTGTGGGAGTGTGTGTGTGCGTGTGTGCGTGTGTGTGTGTGTGTGTGTGTGTGTGTGCATTGTATGTAGCTGTGTGGGGCTAGAGGTGTCTTTTTCTGTCACTCTTTATTGGTTTTTATTCTTTGCTCCTTTGTGGGCACCCGCCACCTGGCTCCCAAATAGCTACATGGAGGCCTACTTCCTTCTTATAAATGCCCAGCCTTAACTTGGCTTTTTTTCTAAACAATGTTTCTTAAATTAGCCTGTCATCTACCTTTTGCCTCTGGGCTTAATCTTTTCTCTATGTCTGCATATCTTCTTCCCTTCTCATTCTGTGTCTGGATGCCTGGCTCCCGGACATCCCCTCCCCTCCTCTGGTCTCTTTCTCCTATTTACTCGCTCTGCCCGCCAGCCCCACCTACTGGCTCCTGCCTAGCTATTGACCATTCAGCTTTTTATCAGACCAACCAGGAGTTTTAGGCAGGCAAAGTAACACAGCTCCACAGAGTTAAACACATTCAACATAGGCGAATGCAACTCACTGTGCCATCGAACAAATATTCCACAGCATAGATGAATGTAACACGTCTTCCACTAATATTCCACAACAACTCTTCACTTTATATCCACCCCCGCCCCAGGCTTTGAGACAGTCCTCCATGGAAACTGGAAGTCACTGATTGTTCGACTGGGTGGCCAGCAGGCCCCAGGGACCCCCCAGTCTCGCCCATCCTGCTTTAGGGAGTGTATGATGACACACTGCCTTTCCGTGTGGGTGTCTAAGAACCACGCTTTGGTCCTCATGCTTACACAGCAGGCTTCTTATGAAGTGGCCGTCTCCTTAGCCTCTCTTAGTATTTTTTAAGCTCTAGTTAACACCTGAACCTTTTTGTTTGTCTCCTCGTCACTCCAGTCATGTGTCCTGGTCACTGTGCCCGTGCAAAGTCATAGTACTTCGAAATCATGGGTTACACTCAGCACGCTTTCCTGAACAAGACAGGTGTGCCCAAACTGGCTCATGTATTTTCACAGTAACTTTCAGGGGACTGGCAGTTGGGTTTCCCCTTCTCGCTGAGGTGAATTGGGTCGGCACCAAAGGCTGGCACTTGAGTGGCAGTGTTAACCACAGTCTGGTGACCGCTACCTATGGTTCCTTTCAGGGTTTCTGAAGAGCCAGTGAAATGGCAGGAGTGTGCTACCTCTGTGACTGAACACTCCATCGCTGCTGCCATCAGCTGGATGCAGGAGACGGCTGTTGAGCCCATGGCTGTGGCAGAGGTTAGCTGCCTGGATGCTCTGCTGGAAGCTGGGAAAGACGAAACTGTAAGTGTGTACCCATGGCCGGCCCAGCTCACCAAGCTGGCTTCAAGCTTCACTGGATACACTCACACTGCTGATCTGGGCTTCCTCCCAGAGGTTTCTCATGGAAACCCTAGCATTGCCACCGAGAGGACCTGCCCTAGTTTCCTGTCCAGTTGTTATGATAATGTACCCCAACCAAAAGCGATTTTGGGGAGAAATGTTTTATTTTTGCTCATGGTTCCAGGTTATAGTCCTCACTGAGGAGGAGGGGGGGATGTCACAGGAGCTTGAGTGTGTGTGTGTGTGTGTGTGAGAGAGAGAGAGAGAGACAGAGACAGAGAGAGAGAGAGAGAGAGAGAGAGAGAGAGAGAGAACCTACAATAATTCTTAGCGTGTCTTCTCTTTTATACGGTTCAGGACCCAAACCCAGGGACTGATGCTACTCACATTTAGCGGGGTCTTCCTATATCAATTAGTGCAGCGAAAGTAACCCCCCACACGCATGCCCACAGGCCAACCAGATCTGGGATAGCCTTCACTGAGCAGCTCTTCAGCTGATCCCAGATGGTGACAAATTGCCAAACTAACCGGCACGGTCCGCAAAGCATAATCCTGTTCACCCCCAACCCCACAGCCAGTCAAAGAAGCAGGTTCCAGATTTCAGAGAGGGATCAAAATGAAAGCTTCGGTGATAGCAGAGTTGGAAAAACCAAACCGGGATCCACATACTCATCCAGTGAGCCTCCCCAAGCTTCTCTGTGGGGTCATTATGGCCTCAGGACAGCACGTTCAGTAGCTAGTTTGAAGGAAACACACAGGGGTGAAGCCAAGCCACATGTCTCTAACCTGTTTCCCTCCTACTGATTAGAGAAATGAGTCCCTATCTTATAGGACATAGAGAGAAGTTGGGGCCCCCTCAAAGAATCCTGAGAACAAGGAAATAGGCTTTCTCCAGCACCCAGGTTCTAAATCTTTCCCAGACCCTTCTCTTCATGGATGGATGAGCCTTGTATGATGCTTGGCTGTGATCATCATCTCGACACCACACAGAACCACCTAAGTAAGGAGTTGCCATGAGGAATTGTCTATCCTGGGGTTAGGCTTATGGGCATGTCTGTGTGGGATTGTCTTAGCTGACATGGGAAGACCCAGCCCACTACAGGCAGCCCCAGTGCCTAGGCAGGGAGGCCTGAGAGGAGAAATCGAGCTGAGCACAAGTAAGGGAGCATGCACACGTTCATTTGTCTCTGCTCCTACTGTGCATTATCATGTGACTAGCTGCTTCAGGCTCTGTCATCACTGTGACAGTGATGGACTGAAACCAGGAAGTGTGAGCTCAGACAAATGAATATCTCGTCGAAGTAGTTCTTTGTCAAGATGTTTCGTCACAGCAACAGAAATAAAACCGAGACAGCAGCAATCATGCATTCTGATATACTGACACATGGTTTTTTTGGTTCTGTTTTGTTTTGTTTTGTTTTTTTTCCAAGACAGGGTTCCTCTGTATTGCTTTAGAGCCTGTCCTGGAACTCACTCTGTAGCCCAGGCTGGCCTCGAACTCACAGAGATCCGCCTGCCTCTGCCTCCCCAGTTTTGGGATTAAAGGCACGCACCACAAGTGCCTGGCTGACACATGGTTTTTGATTGGCACCTTTGATAATAAAACTTTTCCTGAGGCAAGTAAGAGACAGTGCCTGGTGTCTCCTCCCGCCACAAGGCATGTTTCTTTGAGTGACCCTGCTGACGAGACTCTTTAAAAGAGAGTGATACACGGGCAAGGAATTTCTTTGGGTGGGAGGGATTTCTTAGCCAGCTTCAACTCCTCCAGAGTGGGAGGTGGAGGCCCGCTTGCCTTTGAGATATAGAGGCTAAATACTCACTTCCTCTACTCTGGAAGATGGGAGTCTCTATGTGTTTTAGTCTTTATGTAGCTGCATCCAGGAATCCTTTCTTTCTAAATAAATAGATGCATGCATGCTGGCCTAGCCCCATTGGCCGCCAGCCCATGTTTATCAATACTAAGGTGACGGTTTGAAGTTGGGAACACGTTTTTTCTGCCCTCACAAAGCCAGCTGAACATACGCGTTCCATTAAAGAAGAACCAGATACAAATCACTGTGTTCTTTGGCTTCTTCAAGTCTGTTTCGACATCTGAAAAATTCCAAGTGTCTGGATCTTAATGAGCATTCAAAATGGAATGTTTCCCAGGCTTTGGATGTGTGTTGTGCATGTGTGAGTGTGTGTCTGTGTGTGTGTGGGCATGTGTGTGTGCATGTGTATGTGTGTTTGTGGGGGATGAGTGTGTGGGGGGCATGTGTGTGTGTGTGTGTAGATGTAAGTGTGTGTGTGCATGCATGTGTGTGATGTGTATGTGATGTGTGTGATGTGTATGTATGTGTGTGTGTGAGTGCGTGTGTGTGATGTGTATGTGTGTGTGTGTGCGTGCGTGCACATGCGCACACGTGCACATGAACATGCTCTTTCTTTGTGAACTTGACTGTGTCTATCACGGCTGACTCTGGCCATCTGATGTGACGCCAATCTCCAGATGACCTTGCTTTCCTCCTTTACCTCCCCTGGGTTCGTTCCTACTTTAGAGAATATGAACAACCCTGTGAGTGCCAGGGACGGGGCATCCTATAGACGAAGAACCAAGAAAGGTACTGGCCATCGCACTCAATCTGTGGCCTAGAGCAAATCCAAAGTGTATGCAAACCACAGACATCCTTCACCAGTAGCCTCTACCTGTGGGTGATCTCAAGGGAACCCTAGCGAGCACAGCTGTCTTATGCATCAGAAAATGCCATGCTCTGTGTCTCGTAAGACTGAAAAAATGGTGTGCATGTGTATGGCGGAATAGATTGGTTTCCATAAGGGCCCACTCCTCTGCTTCATGCATGCCCCTCATGACCATCCCATAGAATTTCAGTTTATCCATGTAGTCTGCTAGGAAAAAGGAAAGACTTAAATGTCAAGCTACTTTTGGAATAGTGACTATATCCACCTGGACTTCTTCTACTGGTGACAACCCAAACCTATATTGTATGAACCTTATCTGTGGAGGAGACCACAGGGCTCGTCTAGCACTGGGCTTCGTCACCTACAGGAATGAACAAGAAGGGGGAGATGGGCGTGGGTCTTGGGGTCTGAGGAGCCCAGGTAGAGTGTGAGGGGTCTTCCTAAGTCAAGTCTTCAAAAGGGAAGTCTGAGCCATCGCTGTATCCTGTGCAAAAGGCCCTGGCTTGTGGGAAGGGCAGCCTGTGAGCCACTGAGGAAGCGCTTGGCAGGTGATGACTGCGGTCCTCAGAGCCCAGATGTGCTGGCCAGCACAGGGTTTCCATGGCACCAGCAGGCCCTGCAGAGCTTGTAGGGTTTTGGGGAAAGAGGGATATTCAGCAGAGTTCTGGTCACCCATGACAGCTATCCGAGGAGCTTTGTTACTGCTTCCAGAAGGCCGTCTGCCCCGCAAGATGCCCGACTTTTTGTTTGTCTCGCCCTTCCCTTCATGTACATGATAGGCACACATTTAGATATGGGGTTTTTAAAATCATATTCACAGGGAGACAAAGTGAGTGCAGTTGAGAAGGATACCCAACGTCTGCAGACCTCCGGCCTTCATAGAAATACACACAGTTGTGTAACACCTTCACAGTGCGCTCCACCTTACCTTTTGAGATAGGCTCTCTGACTGGACCTGGAGCTCTATGATTGACTAGACTATCTGCCCAGTGAGCCCCATGGGTCCCCCAGTTTGTATCCCAAGCACTGGGATTATAGTCACTCACCACCCACCGAGCCTGACTTCTGCAGGAGTCCTGGGGATCGAATTCAGGGCCTCATACTTGAGCTGCGGGTGCTTTACCGGCTGAACCGTCTTCCCCAGACCTTACCATTCTCTTTTATGGGAAGTAAATGGCAGGAGCTTTTGGCTGGCTCCGAAGAGGCTGAACACCTCAGTGCGGTAAAGACAATCTTCAGCCCAGTGACATCGCAAGGGGAAAACATCTCTTCTGTACACGAGAGCTCCGTTTCCTGGGCCATTGCCCGTCACAGTGGTGCGCCGTCCCCATCTCTAGGTCCTCGTCTCCTGTTTGCTCTCACAGACCCTGGAAGCCACTCCGTCTGTTCCCCGTCTGGGGCCACGTGTCATTTCCGGTGCCTGTGAGAGTTATTCCTTCATTAGATTTGGGCACAGAGGTAACTGGAAAACGCTTGTGAGCGACAGTCCCTTGCTTGTACGTACACTTGGCACAAGGCCTGTGTCCCGCTAGGAAGAGGAATGACCTGCGATGCACGTGCTCAGAAACACAACCCAGTCAACACTTCATGGTGGGTTCATGGTAGGCTGTTTTGTAGGGTTTTGTTTGTTCTGTTTTGTTTTTCCTGCTGGGTAGCTTATGGCATTCATAAGGCTTACTTTTAACAATCTGGGAGCTACTGTTGACAGACTGGAGAGGAAGAGGCACGCGAGGGGGCGGGGCTTTTCTGTGCCTGTGGGAGGAGGTAGTGGCTGACATAGTCCAATCTGGGAGTCTCACTTTGGACATCTAACGCCCAACCTGGGTCCTTGCTACCCCTGCTCTGCTTGCCCTTTTTTGCTACAGACATAGGCTCCTAACCGGGCACCCAGTCATGAGTCTATCACCCCCTCTCTGTCAGGGTTAAAGTTAAGGGGGAAACACTTATTGACTGGCTTCAGTTTATAAGGGGCTGAGATTAAAGCATCAATAATTCACGGGCCCAAGAACCCTGTTTTTCACCCACACACAGTACATTTGCGGAGGCCTCTACCCAGTTCTCTGTGGAAGTGATCAGTTGAGGCGATTTTGAGAGACAGGTTCAGGTGATGTGTATCCCTGGCTTGCTTTGATCTGTGCTTCTGGGAATTTCTGTATAGATTCCCCAAAGTGTAGAAGACCAGACCATGCACGATGAGTTGTGTTGTCTCATTTTGACTGTCACTTGCCTGAGTTCATACATTCATGTCAGGAGAAGGGCAAGACGGTGCCATGGAGGACACATCTCACAGTCCCTTTGGTGGGCTTTTGTCGAGGGTGACCCTGCTCGGACACCCCTTGGGGGGAGGGGTGAGAAGATGCAGTACTGGGAGTCAGTGTGTAGCAGAGCGCGCTGCAGACCCCTTATTAAGGAAGTCAGGCCTACCTTTATCCCTCCCAAGGTCCCACTGGCTCAGGCGCTGACTCTGCTGCGTTTTCCTTCCCTCAATGGTGTCTCTGGTCATCAGCAGTCTCTGGGCATAGAGGCAGGCTTGGCTCAGGGAGGAAGTGCTGCGCATGCTCTGGCCTGGGCACCAGGGGCAGGGTCATTGCATTGCACTTGGGTAGGCTGGCAGCAGTTTCTCCCGCAGGCTTTTGCACATCCCTGGATTATGTCAAGATTTTTTTTTTTTTTTTTTTTTTTTTTTTTTGGTGACATGCACATCTCCCAGAATGCCTGGGTTAACATGGGTAAGTCACTGCAGTTGAGGAAGTAAGTCATTTCCATTAACACAAGCCTTGCCAGTTTTCTCTCACAGATGCTCAAACTGGGGCGGGGCTCATAGACAGGAAGCTCAACTGAAGACAGGGTTATTTGGCTCGCAGTTTAAGAAGGGACGTCTGTCACTGCGCCGTCTGTCACTGCTGGGAAGGCACGGCGGCGGTGGCGGTGTGACAAGCTCTGTAGCAGTCAGGGGATAAGAGCAGACTGGGAGCAGAACTGGACTGTGAGCCTCACAGCCTGCTGCCGGTGACAAGCGCGCCTCAGCAAGGCTCTGCCTCTGATGGCTCTAGAACTTCTCAAGACTGTGCCACCAGCTGGGGACTGCATGGGGGAAGGAAAGAGCCAATGGAGGACATTTCACATCCAATCTACAACAGGAAGGGGACAAGGGACAAGAGGGGAGATGAGAGGCTGGCGGGGGGGGGGGAGTATCCAGTATTTTGTGCGATTAATGTTCGCCAATGCAAAAATGTGTATGTGTAATGTGTGTTTGTGTGCTGCATGTGGTGTATTTGTCCGTGTGTGGTGTGTTTGAGTGTGATGCGTAGTACACGTGTGGTGTGTCTGTGTGGTGGTGATGGTATGTGTGTGTTTACTATTACGGCATGGACGGTCATAGTGTGTGTGGTGTATGTGTATTGTGGTGTGTGTGTGTGTTATGTATGGTGTGTGTGGTGTGTGTCTATGGGGTATGATGTGTATGTGTGGTGTGGTGTGTAGTGTAGGGGGCATAGTGTGTGTGTGTGTGTGTGTGTAGTATGTTGTATGGTGTGTGTGGGGGTTGGGGTATATAGAGGATATGGTGTGTGTCTGTGTGGTATGATGTGTATGTCAGGGGTGGTATGTAGTGCACATGTTGCATTTGGTGTGCGTGAGTGTGGTGTGTGATATGTAGTGTGTGTGTTAATTGTATGTATGTGGTGTATGGTGTGTGTGTGTGTGTGTAAGTGTGGTGTGTGGGTATCCTTGTGCGTGTGTTGCTTCTGACATGGATTGTCCATTCAGCATTCTACTCTGGCACGGCTGTGGGGAACACAGGGGGGGAGGCACATGCTTCTCCTGGCCAGCTGCATAGAGTCAGGACGGCCTCACCTCCCAGGCACGTGTTTCCCCAGCGTGGAGAGAGCAGAGGATGAACCAGTTGGGGACACACCCTCTCTTCTGCAGTCCTGCCTCAGATTGACAATGGATGAATTTGTGCTGTAGAACTCTGGTACCACCTGGGGACGTGGGTATCATATGCCCCCTGCCCTCAGTGGCTGGCTGGGCCAAAACCTTCCCTTTCCTGTCTAAGTGCCTGTGGGCCTGAGGCAGCTGCTCTCCAACTGTCTTCCTTGTGTGGCACCCAAGGACCATGGCCACTGTCACGAGAAGACCCGGAACCCTCAGTGTCATCACAGAACACTGGGAATAACTTCTTTCTGTCCTCTCTTTTTTGCAGCAATTAGAAGATGTGTTGCTGATGAGTCTAGTGCAAGGCTGGGGTGTATGGCGGGCGATGAGTCATTGCCATTGGTGCCTCTGTTTTGCAGATCGAAGCCATTTACTACTTTGTGGTGGGGGATGTTCCTGAGGAGTCCCAGGAACTTCTTCTCCAGAGGGCTTTGGAGATCCCATATCCAGTCTGCGCAGTGTCCTTCAATGCCAGAGGAGAAGAAACAGTAGCTTTCCTAAAGGATCTGAGTGCCAAGAACCAAGGCAGGTAGGCAGAAGATGGACTCAAGAGGCCCCGGGAGTGGGTGGGCCACTTACAATCTAGACGCCTACCCAATGTGTCCTCATGGACAGTCTCCATGATTGTGAGCCCTTTTCTTTATCATGCATCAATCCAGTTCTTAAGTTTTGATGTCTTGGAGCCTTTTGGACTGCAGAGACTGCCGTCTCAGCCAGCTAATTCCTAGAGACAGTAAGTGCCGTCTGGAGGTACTTACCATCTGCTCTCTTGCTCAGAGCAGGTTCACCCTAGGGCCAGATGCTGGACAACTGGAGATAGCTCTGCACCCCATAGCTCACTGCACTTGTTCACATGAGCCAATATCTTTTTCTAACATACAGGCAATTGTATGTTAATTAAGAGGGGATTGTTAGTGATACTGGGGCCCGGACTTAGCCTTAGTTGACACCAAAGGCAAGCTGGAAATACGTATTTTCACCCTTCATTTTGCCTACCAGAGTTGGTGGAAATGCTGTCCTTGCCCACAGCTCCAGGAAACCTGATGCCCGATGTCTGAAGAGGGTCAGGGTCTTGATGTGCAACAAGACCTGTGAGAATCTGAGCTCACCACCCTGGAGACTCTTTGAACACTTTGAAATCATCAGGCACAAGGCTTTGACCCTGGGATCCCGAGTATCCCCCAAACACTTAAAAGGGGGCTCCTCATCCCGTCTCTCTGGGGTAGAGAGAAAGATAGATGGCAGGATTCCCACCCTGGCTTGTCCTTGCCCCCCCCCCCACCTCCCGGGGAACTTTCTCCAGGAGGTTTAGCACCCAGGGAAGGGCATGTCACAGGCCGCGCTGACTCAGCTGCTTACTGACTTTCTGGTCGTCCATTGCGGTGTGGCGGGTTTGCACACAATGCTCAGGTGGAGGCATGCCATCCCCTGTGAGCTCCGGCCCCTCACAAGGGGGCCCAGAGCACAATCCTTAGTGCCTGTTGTAGTGTGGGCTCAGCTGCACCATGCCTTCTGCTGTTCCTTTGTGCTCTGGGCTTCTGGGCCCAGCTAGAGGGCAGTGAGTACCCAACTGGAAACAAGCATGTCTTTGTGGGCATAGCTGCTGGTTGCTTAGGCCACGGGCTCCCCCAAGCAAAGGTGCCAAGGCTGCGTTTGTGTGGGACCACCGGTGTTGGTGTGGGTCCTGTGGTACAGTAGTACTCTCCAAGAGCTTTTCATAATTGTGTCTCACCCCGTTAGAGGAGCGTCTGCCCTGTTCTCTTTCCTAACCTGGAGAAGAAACCAGAGAGCAGAAAGTTCTAGACACCCAAGACGTTGGCGCTCAGGGTTCAGGGCCTTCCAGGACAGAACTCATGCCTCTCCCAATGCCATACACACCTTTCCCTGTCAGGGGGTCACCAAAGCAGGCCGCTGGCCATTTCTGCTCTGGAAAGTGCCTACAGGAAGGAGGTTGCGTGCCGCGGCCTCCAGGCCACAGGAACAAGGCTGTTCTGTTCATGTTCATTGCCACCAAGTCACTGTGAGACTCTCTAGGAAAATGATAGTCTTTCCACAACCCAGGAGGCCCTGAGACCCCTCCCACTTTTTTTTGCCCATCTGTCCACTCCGAGTGGTCCAGCAGGGTTCCCTGAGTGGAATTAGCAGTGATGAGGAGAAGGCCGATCACTACACATCACCTGAAACTTCCTTTGTGAATCAGAGGCTAAGTTTCAGGAGTGCGATTTGGGGGCTGAGGATGTAGCTCAGGGTGACTAAGGTGCCTGCGTGCGTGCGTGCGTGCGTGCGTGCGTGCGTGCGTGCGTGCGTGCGTGCGTGCGGACCTGTAATCCAACAGTAGCACTGCACAGAGAAAGAGAAAGAGAGCTGACTGAGCCCATCACCTCACACCTCATCGGCAGCTGCAAGCTTTGACGTGCACACGAATCCTCTTGGGATCTTATTAAAGTCAGATTCTGACTCGGCAGGTCCAGGCAGGAGCCTGGAATCACAGATCTCTCACGGGCTCCCAGGCGACAACTGCTGCTGTTCCTTGGGCCACACTTTGAGCCGGCAGGCTCCCCCAAACTTACCCACACAGGAATTCTTTTCATGAGCTCTTAAGCTCAAACCCTGGGGCAGTACGTGTTTGCTGAGTTACTGCTGACTGAAGCCACTCAGCAATAGGCAAATTAGTCCAGGCCAGATGTAGCCCCAGCTCTCAATGCTGAGCCAATCGGCGCTAATGGCTTTTAGTGAGGGTCCCTCATTTGATGCCTGGGCCATCAAAACTGTGTTAATATGATAGAGACTTAGAGACAAAATAATGCTACCTATCATTTTCCTAGGACCAAGAAATACCACTTGGTTGAGCTAACGTCTATATTGAGAAGCCACACCACCACCAAACCATTCTTGTGTATGTGGAGGCCAGAGTCAATGCTGGGCATTTTTTTTCTAACCACTTGTCACCTTATTTTCTGTGACAGGGCCTCTCGCAGAACTTGAAGATCACTGATTCAGTTAGCCTGGCTGACCAGCAAGCTCCAGGAATTTGTCTGTCCATATCTGTCATAGAAGTATGCTGCCACCCCTAGCTTTATATGTAGGTGCTGGGGACCCGAACTCAGGTCTCCACGCTTGCTCAGCAAACTGAGCTGAGCCGTCTCTTCTGCCAGGCTTAGACTTACAAGACGAGGTATGGGGAGATCAGAGGATCTGGTTAAGGTATAGAGGATTGGCAATGGGTGTGGCATTGTATACCTGCAGTCCTAGCTACTTGGGCGAGAGAGGCAGGAGGATTGCTTGAGCCTAGAATTTCAGGACAGACGGGGCAACCTGGTGAGGCCCAATCTTGAGAAAACAAAACGAACAAACGAAATCAGGATTTGGAGCACCAGCGCCAGCAAACTGACCGAGAGAATTGATAGGCATGTGCCTAATATGGAACACCTTTCATGTTTCAGATTCCACGCCTTTGCTGAGAGAATCGAGTGTCTAGAGTTCTCTGCCTTTTCCACAGAGGAGGTTGACAGCTCAATGACTTGGAATTCAAGGAAACTGAAAGGGAGACTCCCTCCAGGTACCTGGAACCCTGAAGGAGCAGTATCACTTACAATCTTAGTCATTTCAAGTGGTCTGCAACACAGTTGGGAAATAAAGGACAAAGCAGGGACCACCCATATGTTTTGCATTAATTCTGTGGCACAAGGGCGCACCCAGTAGAATTTCAGAGTGAGCTGGTCTGTCTAGAAACGGCTTTAAATGCATCGTTCACGGAATCTAAGTGATGCGTGGTTGCTGACATAGGGATAGGGCCCTAGCCATGCTATTGCTGGGGCTAGGCTTAGCCAGGCACCCTGTTCCTGGGTTAGCTGGGGGCCTGTGAAATTCTCAGGGTAGCGCTCTGTGTGCCTTGTGATGGAAGTTGCACTTGCAGGGTGAGCCTGCCCTTGTGAGGGTCAAGGCTAAACAGGGACTTTTATGGAGGCTGAGGGAGCCTCATTTTTCATTCAGGAATGTGGTCTAGTGAATGAGGTCACAAATGAGGGAGAAAGGGAACTATGATTCAGAAAGCCAGTAATGGAATTATATTCAGAAAGCCAAGAGATGGAATTCCTTTGGGGCTGATGAAATGGCAAAATGCTAGACTGTGAGTAAAGTCAGGGAAGGAAGGTCCTGTCTGAATATTACAAGACAGGGCACGGCATGGCACCTCAACTGTCTAGAAATTGTTGTGGTTTGATTGAGATGTCCCCTGTTTCCTCCAGTGTTTAGATACTTAGTCCCCAACTGCTGGTGATTGATGTCTGGAGAGGCTTAGGAGTTGTGCCCTTGCTTAGAAGTGTGGCGCCTGGGGTGAGCACTGAGGTTTTAAATCCACACACACACACACACACACACACACACACACACACACACACACACACACACCGTTCACTCTGCCTCCTGCTTACAGTCTAAGATGTGAACTCTTGCTGGGTGGTGGTAGCGGCGCACGCCTCTAATCCCAGCACTCGGGAGGCAGAGGCAGGCGGATCTCTGTGGGTCTGAGGCCAGCCTGGTCTACAGAGTGAGTTCCAGGACAGCCAGGGCTACACAGAAAACCAAAAAAAAAAAAGGACTATTAGCTTGCTGTTCCCTTCATCATGCCTGCCAACTGCCAGCTTCCCCACCATGATGGTGAGTGTTGTACCCCCGTTCTGAACCCCCAAAATCACCAAGAGACCCATTCCAATGCAAAAGCAAAGAGTCTTATTGTTTAACGAGTTAACTGTTCATCACGTGGGTGGTGTGAGAAGGACCTGCAGAAACCTCGGGGTGGGGAATTTACTGGGGTGTGCAAGGGGAGTGTGTAGGGGGGTACAAGAGTCTCAGGATCGGTGCGCTTCCGGGGCGTGGGCGACCTGTCCTGTGTTGATTGGTCAACTGGTTGTTATGGCCTGTAGGCCCTCCCAGCGCGGTTGCTATGCTCTGCATGTCACTCTTTTACCTTAAAGCCCAGTAAAGCCCTGTAAAGCAAGCCCAGAGCCTTCCAACTTCTGATTGGTTCCTTGCCACATGGAGGGTATCTGACCCGCCAGTGCCTGGGAGGAGGGGGGAGGGGCAAGGTCAGGCAAGCACATGTTGCTGGCTCTTTTCTGCAGCCCATCATGGCTGCTAAAGCAGGGGGCGAGGCGAGGGCCTTGAGTGATGAACTCGAATCCCTCTAAAAGCTTACACTCTTGTGTAAGTGATGGTACTTTACCACCACAACAGAAAAGTAACTCTGAGAGCCAGTGTCTGCCCCTGCCCTGCTGCACAGCTGTAGTTATTAAACAGGCTTCTAGCGTCAGTACAAAGCAAGGATGATTCCTTGGGTGGAGGGGAGGGAAGGAGCTGAAGATTCCTTGCTTTTCTCAACAGCGTTGCCAAGTCTCGGAGGAGGAGGGTATTTGCATCAGCAGCTAGCCTTCAGGATGGAGATAATGGCAGGGTGTCAGGTGGAAAGCCCATACCTGACACAGGCTTTGCACATTCAAACTCTTCGTGTTGCAGAGAGTATAGCCCGGGAGATTTCTCTACAGCATGGCTGTGGATAACCGACACTTTTTTTTTTTTTTTTTTTTTTTTTTTGTCAACTTGACACACGTAAGAGTCACCTGGGAAGACAAACACCAACCGAAGAATTGCCTGCATCACACTACTGGCCTGTAGGCAAGACTATGAAGTTTTTTTTTTTTTTTTTTTTTTTTTAAATTAATGATTGATGTGGGAGGGCCCAGCCTGCTGTGGACAATGCCACATCTGGGCATGTGGTTCTCAGTGCTATAGGTATAGGAAAACAGGCTGAGCAAGCCATGGGGAGGGGGGTGGGAGAGTGGGAGAGTGGGGGTGGGGTGGGGTGGGGGTGGAGGGTTTAAGCCAGTAAGCAGTGTCCCTGCATAGCCTCTGCATCTGCTTTCGCCTGAGGTCCCTCCCCTGACTTCTCCTCATGATGGATTTTAAGCTCTACAGATGAAATAGACCCTCTCCTCCCCATGTTTACCTCAGCAACAAGACAGAACCACTTGAGTCAGGGTGGAGAACGTGAACGTCACCAGCTTCCCAAGGCTTGTCAGCTGTTACAAACGGGACTTGATTTTGACCTGTGCATTCTCTGGGGTCCTGGTCTGTTTGTTGCTGCTGCTACTGCTACTCCTGACTACCTGAATAATTGATAAAGGACAGGAATGTATTTGGCACATAGTCCCCAAAGCTGAGAAACCTAAGAGCTTGTAGCTGGCATGGAGAAACGGTGTTTGTGATGCGTCCTGCCTGCCAGGGAGGTGGGTCTCACATCAAGTCCTCCGTCACAGTGACTAACCCACACCCACAATAATGCCATTAACTTGTTCACAGGGGCAGAGTCCCCTTGACCTGGTCAGCTCTTAGCAAGTCCCGTTTCCCAGTTCTGCTGCTCTGGGGAGTCACATACAAACCTGACATCCGGTGACAAAGGCAACATCTGCCCATGTAGCTAGATAGCATTTCCACAGCTACCATCTTCTCAGCCCTGGAAGCAGCCAGCTTACAGTACCGATAGAAATACCTTTTTAAGAATGAAATGCTCGGCATACCTTCCTTTTAGTAAGCTTGTGTTCCAAATTTGTGAAGGAGGTGTAAGGCCCTAAATATTCGATCTCACCTATCCATCACGGTGCCCCAGAAATGCCAGCGTTCCAAAGTTGACTTCCTCCATGCAAGAACTACCCAGAAATCTTTGACAGATGATATGTGTGGTTTCCAGTCCTCTAATCTTTTTTTTGTTGTTGGTGTTGTGGGTCCGGGTCCGTGTCCCCCTTACCACACCAGCCACTATGAGAATTTAGCATTACCAGTCTCCCAAACCTCCAACAGGGTGTGCAGAGTCTGACTCCTGAGGAGATCTTTTTTTTCAGAAAACAACCTTTCAGAGGACGATTTAGACAGGCACTACTTAGAGAATCCCCCTCTCCAACCTGAGAGGAAGTTCCAGTTGTCACTAACTTTGGATTCTACATATTTGATTATTAAAGTCTGGTGCTCCTTGCTCTACCCCAGTACAGAAGCAAAACAAAAATAAGACTAAAGAACCACTCTGCAGCCAAGATAAAGAATAGTTTGTAAATTATATATACATATTTCATGTATATAAGTATATACACACACATATATCCATATATTATGATGCATATATATGACACACACATAATGCCAATATCTTTAAGTCCATAGTTCAGCTTTATTAAGAATCTCACTTTCTGAGCATCTGTCATAGCCACTCAGCTCCTGAACTCTGTCTTTGCAAGTGGAAACTCTGCTCCTAGGAAACAATGAGTTCCTCGTGTCTTAATTCTGCTTGTGACACCATAACAAAACATCAGAGCCTGGATATTCTTAAAGAACGGAAATCAATCTCTTACAGTTCTGGAGGCTGAGCAATTCAGTGTCTCAAAGGGCAGGACCCACAGATTGAGAACCACTCAGTGCCTTTTGGCTTGCCTACAGCCTGATCTTACGGAGGCATTTTGTTCATTGGGGTCCCACCCTCTCAGATGACTTTACGTCAAGGTGACATAAGATTATCCAGCACACTGGGGTGATATGGAATCTCAAAGTGGTTATAATTTTAACTGAAAGAATAATAGTCATGGCCTCTGTGTGTGTGTGTGTGTGTGTGTCCACTGGTGATGGACATGTGGATTGCTTTCATCTTTTGGCTGTTATAAACTATGCTGCCATGAGTTTGGGTTTACAATACGTTTTGACTCCCTGCTTTTCATTATTTGGGGTATATACTTGAAAGTGGGATTCATGAATCATATGTGGTAACTCTGTTTGTATTTTTTGAGGAGCCTGTACTGTTTCCCACAGATGTGGTATTGTTGTACATTCCTGCCAACAGCGTACAATCGTCCTGTGCCCTTGTGAACATCTGTTACTTTCTGTATTTTTGACAGTAGTCATCCTAATGTGTGTGAGATGGTGTCTCAGTGTGGTTTTGATGTGCATTTCCTGTAGTGATATTTAACATTTTCATGATCTTATTGAAAGAAATATAATATAGTATTTAAAAATTGGAAATGAACGCAAAGTATCCATGATGATAGAGATAAATGACCCAGCCTCCTTCCAGCCTGCTGGAAACTAATCCCAGCCACTGTGGGGGACCCCTTCTTTGAGCCTTGGTCATTACCCAGGGGTCCTTTGCAGTAACTAGGTGTCAAACTGCCACTTCAGGATAAGCCACCTCACAGGGTGGGCAAATGAGAGGATTCTCTGAGCTAGCTCACCTCTGGGCTGCAAGTCTGAGGTGGTCAGGAAGTGTTGCTGTGTATGGGGGCGGGCGCTTCAGTGTTGCTGGGGCCCCTTGGCTCAGCACCAGTTTTACAAGATGAAACAGAACACTGTCCACCTTCACTTGACCATCCCATCAACCGGGCGGGCTCCAGTGTCAGGGCGTTAGGAAAGAAGCTGCCCCAATGTCTTGGCTTTGTGGGTGGGGTTTCTTTTTTTCATAAAATTTGTTTTGTTTCTTCTTTTGCTTTTTCTTTCACTTATGGTTTTTATTACGCCCTTGCT